AAACGGCTCACATATATTCTAAAGTAGTTAAAAAATGTGTCGCTGTCAGCTAGAATTTCTTCAAATAATTCATGAAAAAATCCCTTTTCATGGCTGACTTCGTTCATAGGATGAATGTAATGTTTTTTGTTTTATTTTTTATTGCGTCTTTTACGTAAAATCCAAATAGTTAATATTTGAAATTGATCTATTTTTTACGAAAAATACTTGGTCTTTTATGGGTGATATGTAAATATATAGGGCGGTCAGTAACTAATGGTACAACCTGGAGGATGGTGATTTTACAGACAAAGTAAAACAAAGATGGAGAATAATATTTCTTTATTTAATATTTCGTTTTCGAAAACAATTAATTTGAAAAATAATACTATTGATTAGGATTATATTGATACGTTCGACTATGACATACCAATTCTATTTCTTGTAGTTACGCGAACACGGTGCATTTTTCAATTCCGTATTCTCTAAAGCGCAGCTTTCAATGAAAAAACGTTACTTTTTCTTTTTGACTTGTTCTTGCATGTTGAATGTCGCCTTTTTAGGTTGTACCATCAGTTATTGTTCATCCTATATATTTAATTCAGGAACACATGCTGAAACACCGTTGCTTTCAAACACCGTTTGAAACGAGAAAACTTTTTAAAAACATGACTAAATGACTTGTACATCTTTGAGATGTTAGGGGAATTAGGTTATTAGATAATGTCTAGAATATCTTTCTTAAAAATTGTAATTGTGTGAAGTAACAACAAAGATTTAAATCGGTTTGTTTGTTATGAGTTACAAATAATTAAACATTGTGAAAATCGTAGCTTTTTCACGATTTTCGTCTCTTTCAACCGATAACTGCAAGACATCCGAAAGTTTTTACATCTTTAAATGGCTGTAACTTAACTGTGTGTTACCTGATTTCGATGAAATTTGCAGCTTCAATATAATATCATCGTAAAAAGGATTCATACACTGAATTTCAGATTTTCGTCAAATCGTCAATATTTGAACTGCTATATTTTCGTATAAAAGAGTCATACTATAATAATTCTGGACCTATTTTGAAGCTTTAAACCTCTACCTTAGCAATTCATCGACGAGTTCTTCCTAGCATACATTTGCAACTCATAGTTAACGGAAAACTAAAGGTATAGGTTAACCCGAAAATGTTACAAATTAAAACATTTCTAAAATTCCAATGAAAAACTTTTCTTATGATTAAATCGACAACAAATTTGAAAATTCAAGCTTCCTCTTTACAATAACTTCTTATAATTTGATGTACGACTTTTTCTAATTGTTTTATGGAACAGAATCAAGGAACAAATTCGGTCGTGAAGAGACCTTAGGGACCTTGTCTTACTGTAATGAAGATAGTACACCCTTCATTCAAAGCTGAATAGAATGTATAAAAAGATCGTATATCAAAGATTGAGGTGTCGTTGCAAAGGAGAGATTTCAATCTTAAAATCCATGTTAGGATCAGCCGAGAAACAAATTTTCCTGTGTATTTACAGACGTTTCGATTCGTAAAATTTTCCAGGAAGAGCATGTCTTCAGTTTCCTACATATTGTTACATTATGCACAAATATATTACGGGAAAACGAACGATGCAATGCGCAAATAAAAGCTTCAAGCTTTAAAATAAGTCCAGCTTTATTTTGATATGACGCTTTTTTACGAAATTATAGCTGTTTGTCAAAGAACAATTTGTCAAAGATCGGAATTACTTTGTACGAATACTTTCTCAATAACAATTTAGTGCTACAAAACGCATTGTTCAAATTTTTGTTTCTGGCGCACATAAATAGTTTAAAAAATATGAGTATTTCTCTTTTTTACCATTACAAGTAATTGCAATTAACGAAAACAGATATTTTACGCCATTGTCTAGTGTACTTGTCGCTTTAACATCTCCAAAAAATTCAAGTCATCTCGTTCAATTTGGAAAAAGGTATTCCATTTTAAAAGGTGCTCGTACACTATCGTGAGCTGTAGCGTAATGTATGTACATGTTTTGCTGTGGGAAAGGATCCACTTGTTTCAACGCTCTATCTACCGACTTCACACGAAAAGAACGTTGTAAGTGACCGATATTCGCAAGATACAGTGGCGGACGAGAGAAAGTTCAAAAATCAGGCGGTATGCAAAGACACCATAATTTGATGTCATATAAAAATCGTTATGCGAACGCATCCATCAGCAATGTATCAGCAAAGTAATTGTAGACATCGCGCGATGCACGTATCACGATAATTCTATTCCATACGTGTACTACCATGTGAAAGAGGTACTAATCTGCGTGTTTGTGAAAATGATTGTTACTTAATCCCCTGAATGATACTATCGCAAGCGAGCTATTTTACCACTAAATTCATACAGTAAACCACTAAAGCATTCGAACGGCTTTTAATATGAAATAACCTCTGCAAAGATAAACCAAGCGATTTAAGTTCTTTTAAGATGGTGGATGGACAACTTTACAACACCATGTCTAAAACATTGTTGATATCATTTAGAAAAGGCTACTCATCACCGATTTTGATTATCTCGAAATATAGTAATTTCTCCACGAGTGTCGCGGAGTCTGAATTGAAAATGTATTTCAAGGGACCACAAGACACGATTTTTCGAGTCTCGCGGGTCGCCTTTATACAGTAAATTCTCCCTAATTATCCCTCAGATTCTAAACAAAAATGAACAATTTGGAAAGAGGAAATACGATTATTCGAGCCACGCTGCTCGTTTTTATAGTTATTGACAACCGGAGACTATAAGAACGAGCAGCGAGACTCGAATAATCACATCTCCTTTTCCCAAATTATCCATTATTGTTTACAAGCTGAGGGACAATTGGAAAGAATTTACTCTAGTTGCAGATATCTCGTGAGAGGGGGGGGGGGNATTATCCATTATTGTTTACAAGCTGAGGGACAATTGGAAAGAATTTACTCTAGTTGCAGATATCTCGTGAGGGGGGGGGGGGGGAGAGAACGAAACACAGGTCGAACGAAACTACCTGGAAAGGCAGCGACCACCATGCCGGTGTACATTACTTGAATACATTGTAACGCTAGAATGAAAACGATGATTTAACTTTATTTCTAATTTTTTAGACATCAACATTTTTTTAATATATTGTTCAGATTTTTCGAATTAAAATGAGGCCAAACACGACTTGCTTTAGACCATATTTATTCAAACTTATTTTATTTATGATAAAAGCATTAGAAATATTGATTCTTAACCTTTTAGGCACGACGCGCCACTATAGTGGCTTTCGTGGATGTCATCTCTCTGGACGACGCGCCACTATAGTGGCTTGCTCTAGTAGCTCACTCGCTCATCGTTTGAATCAAATAATCGTCTTCATATACATTGTTTCACACTTCTTTTGTCTTCACATCGATTTACAACAGTCAACAGGGTGTTCCAGAAATGTCTCGCAATCCGGAAATGGCGGGTCCCTCGGATGATTTGAAGCAACTTCTTCCTTTACAAGAATTTTCTCCGAGGCACCGTTAACGAGTTATTAACGAAAAACAGTGACCAATAAGAATCGAGTACGGCTGATGCGGGGTGGCCCAACCAACCAGCGCGCGAAGCCCAGTTCCGCTCATTGGCTCGATCGCCTCGCGCCAGCCGAGTTCGCCTCTCATTGGTCACTGTTTTTCGTTAATAACTCGTTAACGGTGCCTCGGAGAAAATTTTTGTACAAGAAAAAGTTGTTTCAAATGGCCTGAGGAACCCGCCAAGGTTAACTACATATGAAATATTAAAGTCAACGTCAAAGAAACTATGTACATACGTCGTTCAGAGGAAAATATCAGCGAAGTTCTGCTATTCGGGTCTATGTTCGATAGATACTCGTAGGCCAGATGCATTTATGTCACACGCGTGCTTCATTATTAAATTGAGAGCTTTAATTTGAAAAAGTTTGGTTCCATTGACACGACATAGAAGCAAATTAAGTGATCACAGACGGGGGAAATACACAAGCGCCTGTTTACTCGACTGCGGCATCGAAATTATATCGCGTTTGATTTTATCTTAACCAGAAATATTTGTCCAAACTATATCATGTTTTGTCTCATTTAAATCAGAAAACTATCAGAAATATGTTAAGAAAAATTCAGTGTTAAAATATTAAAATGAAAAAAGTTACGTTATTGTATTACGAGTTGTCATACCAGAAATTCGTGGCAAAGGAGCTGCGGCGCGTGCTGCATCATACGCTTGACTGACTCCGACAAACCTTCGCATCAGCATAACGAGAAAATCGATAAATCACATAGACGTTACAATAGCATCGCGGACTCATGGCACAGCAAAATTGTGACACTCGTGGAGAAATGACTGTACATCGTCAAAGTCATCATTCTGACCAACATTTCTTTATTGATATTACCGTCGCACAGACTTCATTTCCGAGATATTAACAAAACTAGTTCTATAAATTCTTTTTTAGGTTCTGATGAGAAAGTTAAAATTTTCTTATTTTTCTTTTCCCTTCAACTGCAATTTATGTAAAAATATTTTCATTTATCGCCTAGTAAAGTGGTCTCTCTAACGTTTGAAAAAAATTTAGATTGCTTGACCGTTTTATAAAGAATCTTCAGATCTCAGGGTTGAGAAACTGTTGCTTGAATATCAAGCAGATGCGTCTAGAAGAAGGATCTTAAATAACATGTCGACAAAAATTCATAAATAAAATAATATTGCCAGTACCATTTTTGTGAAAAAGGTTCGCCATTCGGATGTTGAAAAGCGTTCCAATAATTCCGTGGCTAAGGGTGTACGAACCGCGGGTCCCACATAAATGGGTTTACATAAACGGAGTTCTATCATATTCCCATTGTCGCGAGAATCAAATAACGCCGGAATCTGCATTTTGCGAATATACCGAGAGGCTTCCGTGTACACGGTTCCACGGAAAAGGATGCACAAATCCGCAAAAAATGGTCGCGTTTGTTTGAATAAACTGATATCCCAGATGACTCGTACATACCTCCACTCGTATAGTTAAGTTGTACTCCTTTATGCTCTCGTAATCCAGAGGATGGTTAACCTTGATGTCTGCCCATGTGACGGACTGCTCGTTACGTTGCTGCAGGTAAAACGTGTTATGCTTGTTCGTCTGTGCCGTGGAGCCGGGCATTAGCCGGTAAAACACCGTTGGATTATTTTCGATCCCCGAGCTGTCGACACACACCAGAGTCACGTGTTACAAAATCCCAGCCGGTCGCTGATCCAGCTCCATCTGCGAGTGGAGTCGACTTAACAAACGGAAACGGGAAACGGAAACAGAAACGAGAACGGAAATCTCCTAGGGTAGACATTATGTATATATATATATATGTATATATCGGAAAGTACATGACTAGGAACAAATTTACCGACTAGAAGAGATACTGGAATCATAATAAGTACACCGTCTCGAAAACGAAACGTATCACCATGCGAATCGTCGACTATGTGTCATCCATTTGTATACTGCGTTCTTCCCTCTGTATCATTTATTCGTGTTGATTCTCTTTTACCGACGACATACCTTCTAATCGAATATATCTAATCACACAGTAACAGATCTACTTGGACGCGGTCTAGTATTTCACGAAATTTACCTAAATACAACTACGCTTCCCGTCGTCGCCTGCCTTTTCCGTTTCTGGTCTATGTACATCGGTACATATGTACACGTATACGTGTACGTCTAACTCATACGTCGGAATCGAAATATGCTAGTTAACCAATAAAACCTAAGCGTACCATAATCCCGAAAAGTGTGCGGTCAGTGGCATCCTTGCTACATTGCAGAGCTGTAAATTTCACGAATACCCGTAACCTACCATTCACCATAACCTACATAGCTTTCTACTTAACAACAAACTTTTGGGTTGATTGTCTTATCACGCTGCGTTGAAGTGTCTTTTTCTGTGTCCCATTTTATGTATAGTTCTAACGCGACATTAAAGGCACCTTTCTGTTTACATTCCCCCTCTTACTAGCTGCTCCACTGGGTCGCTATTGGCTAAAAACGGCGACGAAGAACGGCGGCGGTCGTCAACGACCGATAGCTGCGGTAGTGGAGCAGCTAGTAAGAGGGGGAATCTAAACCTGTTTTCTTGTCGCGTGAGGATTATACGAACATACTTCGGTTTCATCGTATATCACCGTTATGTCCGGGCAATCGATGAAAATGTTCGCGACGAAGAATTTTCAGAGGTTGCAGAGCGTGGGAATATTCGGATGAATTCATTTGATCGTTTTTAAACAGTTGCTGCGCCCGGGAATCATAGTATACTAGAATAGTGGGAAACAATAGCAATATTTACTCCTCAGTAGCCGCTTTCTAAAGCTGATAAACCACTTTGCGACAATTTTAACACATACAGGTAAACACCTTTTAGTGGATCTTTTTATCCATTATCAGTAACGACGCAATTGTCGAAAATTGTATTTCTTTACACTTTTGATTCACACTTTAGCTTTCAGATAGTGAAAATTATATAAATTTCGTAATGTTTGCGACGGTAATTTATGCAGAATGTTTATTTATTTATTAATAGCACCACAGGAAACGCTGAATTCTAATGTTTCCGAGAACATGACAAGTAAACATTTCTGACTAAATATTTAATTTAATTCATGTTTAAGCTTCGCAATCAAAAGGAACTTAAACATTCAATCATTTGACATATTAATTACGTTAAATTAATACTTATTTTCATTCCGATGCACTCTCATAATGTACGTTAATGAAATAAGATTGAACGATTGAATTCTCAAACGATTAAAACAGAAATTATTCCAACACGTCGGTATAGTATATTTATTTATATATATATAAATACTCTTTACAATTCAATTAAGCGCAAAAGCAAATCTAATTATCCAAAAGAAAGAGAGAATAAAAAGTCTTAAGCGAGGTCGAGATTGAAACAAAAATATCAATATAATAGACTTCACTTCGTTTTATGGATTATCAGAGAATTTAGTGAGTAATCGTTTATATTACTTATACCACGATATCTCTCTAGGCGACCCATGAATTACCTTAAGAGTTTACCAACGACTATTTAGAAGTTTCAAAATTAATTACGATGCGTATGGAATCGAGCGTTCACGAGAACGACCGTATACGGAACACGAAAAAATATCGTCGTTTGCATTTGAAAGTACATCTCTCTGCGAAAAAGTTCTTTATATAAAATTGGTCATTTTTCGGTGTAATCTTGCAGCTACCAGAGAAATCGGTCGAGAAGATTCATATACGATGACCCCGCGGGCGGCTTAGCGAAAATAAATCCAGCTTTGCATTAATTTTTCGACGACTAATACCGTTTGATGTCGATTCCCGACCGAGGACGCCTGCAGTCTCGGAATTAACCGGGAAATTTTATACGGCTTCTAACGAAGAAAATCCCGTCGAGAAGGAAAGGGAATTTTTACTTCCATCCAACAATCATGAATTTTCTGATCTGAACTCTAAAGATATATTCTATCGTGCTCCATGTATACACTACATGCTCGATTCTTGAAATGTGCATTTCGAGATTTTCTACCTCTTTGATAACAAACAAATTTTATTATATCTATGGGAAAGTAACAGAAAGCAGTTTTGGAATTCCTTTTCGAAATTAAACAAAGAAACAAAGACAAACGATACACTGAATGCTATTACTGAAATTAATTCTTCTATGAAGAAGATATATAAATATTTTTCAATAGAAAAAGATTGGAATATACCGTACTTACATAAGAAATAAATTATTGATGATTGTAATTATTTCGTTGCTTTGAATTCACTGTGTTTACTAATTTGCAGCTTAAACGATTTATTGTTACTTACTATTATTATTGTAAAATATAATTAAGAAATTTCTTCCTTTCACTGTTGCTCATCATTTTGTAATTCTTTAAGTATCATTTCTTACAAATGCACTATGTGTGTGTGTAATTATATTCCAAATTCTCATACAGAAATTCAGAGAAAAGCTGTTTCAAACACCTACAATTTTATGATGCGTCATTTTCAACATTAATTGCAAATAATAAAGTAGACATTCGCAAATAAGTTAGATACGTTCATGGCACTACGGACTGTTTTTCGAAAGAGGATACATAAAATCTCGTAACAGTTATTTACTCCATTGACATTGTTTAAAATTTTCGACATGGATGCTGCAGACATCTTTGATGGTAAAGCAAACAGTAATTGAATTAAGCTAACGCGAACATTATAAAGAGATTTAAGAGAATTTCGTATGAACCAATCTACATGCGTATGTAGAACTCATGAGAAATTCGTACCGATTCGATAACTGAAATTGAATTAATTTCCAATAAAACGGTATAGGTGATAAATTCAAAAGCATCCAGTAAACTGAATTAAATAGCGATAATTTAATTATGAAAACAAAGCAATTAGCAAATGTATAGTTGTTATACGAATTTCTATTATATTATATCTTATTTTGCATGTGCTCTTTCATTTTTAAATCATTTTAAGAAGAACCTGTCCCAGAAAAGCTTCTAAAGTTACAAATTGTCCCACACCTATTTAACAAAAGTCGATCTCAGAACTGAAATAAAAAAAAACCGTTATTTTAACCAAATAACTTAAGCGATCCACATATACGTTACTTTCATGACATCCTTTCGAACAGTAGACTTTTTTTATACATATTTTAGTAGAGTCATATCGACAATTTATATTTAAATAATTTCAGTGTTTGTAAAAATTAATTGTTTGGAGAAAGAAGAAAGTTATCGAATGGACTGTTTGGGTGAAATTTTATGTATACGTCCTCGATTTCTGTCTGTATTGATTTGTGAGAAAAATTTACCTTATAAACTTTTCAACTTTTGAAAACTGTTTATTAATTTGAATAACCCTGTTTTACATAGTGATTGATAGACAAGCAACACTATAACAAAACAATTGACGAACACTGCAACGCAAAAAAGATTTCTTTGAAATAACGTATATGCCAATGTACGTGTTAATATATATTTACATATGAATATATTAACATTAATATGCAATTTGTACTAAAACCAAACTATCACACTTATTGCCATATTAAAGTAATATTACAATAATTTCATTTGATGAAACTTCTGAAGACTGTTTTTAAGATATATTCTATATTTTTCCATTCTAAAACATCAATGAACGTTAAAAGCATAAAACAAAGTCTGGAAGAGATTTAATCGATTCCTAATACAGTTTTCTAATTATTTTGCTGTTTTTGAAATAATTTAAAAAGTACGAATATGTTTATGTTTCTGCGACTAATCTATTATTTAAAGAAATGCCCCTTCAAAGTGAACTAAACCTGGAATATTAAACTGAAATATTAACATGATTTTTATCGCACGAAGATTGTTAGTTGAAGTCACGGAACGGTTCGCATTCTATGACTTTTATTCAAAAATACATTTTGGAGACCACTCGCGTAGCGTAATACGAAAAGGAACGTATTTTAAAATAAAATATGAAAAAAAATGTATATCTGAGAAATGAGAAATATTTTTGCAAAAATTTTGAAAAAGTTGCGAGCAGTTGCACATAAACTACAATATATTAAATTTGAGAAAATGTTAGTCATTGAAATATTCAGGATCGAGCAGACAAGAAACGACCAGCACTCACAGTCAGATACCAAAAAATCTACATACACTAACTTTTCAAATTACTTGAATTTTAATATACAATCTGATCACTGTACTCTAGAATTTATGATGCTGTCTGTACAGTTTATTTGTATGTAATTTTGATTACTAAATGAATTAATATTCATAAAATGCCAGGGCGAATTCCAAATATCTAAAATTTTGGGTGTATGGGAACTTTCGTGACCGGCTGTAAGTATAGTCCTCACGCGACAAGAAAGCACCTTTTGTACTTACATTCTCCCTCTTACTAGCTGCCCCACTGCTGCAGCAATCAGTCGCTATTGGCCGACGGTGATCTTCGTCATCGTTTTCGGCCAATAGCGACCGATAGCTGGGTCAGTGGGGCAGCTAGTGTGAGGAGGGAATGTAAACACAAAGGTGTCTTCTTGTCGCGTGAGGACCGCACGTGCGTGCGTATACATGGAGCCGAAAAGCTTGAGTTTCTCTTCTACGTAAAATTCTATCAGTGTTTATCATTTGTGTGTTGGTTATTATTATTATTATTATTATTGTTATT